GAGCTAGAAAGATAGATTAAATATTTTTTATCTAACGGATTAATAAACTTTGATTTTATATAATCTCATCATACTTTATCAAATTTTAATGACTCTACTGTACTTTATCAATATAATAAATTGAAATTTGAATATTTTAAATAAAAACTATTAATTAAAAAGAAATTTGTATGTATTTAAAAAATTAAATTATAATTTAATGATACAATTGACTCAACTTTAAATTTTATTATGAATGAAAATACCCTCAGGCGATTTTTTCATCAAAGCATATTTTTAAAAATAAGTATTCAAAATTAGTAGCTTTGATTTCAAAATCTGCCTGTCGCGAAATGTCTTCTTGCATATAATATTTCATATTTTTTCAGACGAGAATAAAATAAAATATAAATAAAATTACCATCTTTATTATCTTAAAGATCAAGTAACTATTTAACGCATTGAATGAAAATTTGAAACATTGAATAAAAATGATTATCATATCATGTATTTAATTTACATGTAAAAATATTCATATATTTAGATATTTGATCTGATTTGCAAATTTATCTATATTAAATATATTATAGTCGATTTAAATTTATATAATTAATTTGAAAAATTATTATTATATTTAAAAGCGCGATGTACAAGAAGACCTAGCCTAAACTAATAAATAAAACAATGGAAAACGTTACTACTCACGGGTATAATAAATACCCGTGGTCACTGTGCTCGTGCAAAAATCTACGTATACAACCAATCACTCGTGTCGATTTGGACCTTTCATCCTACGACATGATTGAGTGACCAGAGGAACCAAAAAGCATGCGACTCACCATTGATGCGAAGAATCTGCATTGCCACTGATGCCATTGATGGAAGTCGAGAAACTGGAAACTGTAATAAAAAGTGAAACATTATAATTTACAAATATGATAACAAAAATTGAAATTTAAAAGTTGGAATTCTCTAATGGTTTGTTTTTCATTAGAAGAATAAAAATTTAAATAGGAATAAAGATAATTACCTCTTCGCGTGATGGATGACCGCCTTATTTTCTTGAGAGAAGCACT